CCCGTCTGAACGGTTTTCATGTTCTATGACATAAGCGCTTGTCAAAAATCATCAGGACGAAAATGGAAATTTTACCTAATGTTGTATTTTTTGAGAGATAGTTACACAATGTCACACGGGTGGTGTGTATATAAACCGGTAAAGGGTGAAAAAATTTTTTCCGGTTTACTTTAGCAAGAAACCATCACTTCACTGAACGATGAATGGACTGCAAGATCAAAATATATTATACCTGGAAACATTATGTCAAGGTTATAGAGCAATCACCTTTTTTGCTATCTAGCGATACGCGTGTTGCTCAAAATGGTTACATTTCTTTGTATCGTCGGTGGACAGAATTATACTCTCCAAAGTCGCCGGAACAACGAGCCAATGCCGAGCAGTTACTAGACGCTGCCTTCCCAACATTCTCCGAGACCTCAACTACACGTGTCAACGGGACGGTCAGTCCCTTGGGCGTGAAAATACAGACTCCTGTTGAGTCTTCTCTTTATTGCCGGTTGTTGTTGGATAATTCAGCTTCACCTTTTGCTCAAATGTTTGCAACGACAAGGTTAAAGAGTCTCGTCTTGGATCATTATTCAATGTTCTCCATGACAGAGAAAATAGAACTGAGTATGGGGTTTGCACAAAAAAACATATTTCTATCATGTCCCTATTGGCCTGAGCACTTTGTAATAATAATAAGCGCGTTTTTCACAATAATTGTTCATTTTTGCCAATATTTACTATGAATCACGAAAAAAAATTAAAGGAAATTATGTATTGACATATATGGCCCAACACCCAGACTTTCAACCTTTTGTCTTGTCTTCGCTTGCGCAGCTTTTTGCAACTATCACTAAAGTCGGATGGTTCGAAAGCGAGGAGTTTAAAAATGTCCCAAATGATTTGTCAAATTTTCTTCAGGTAACTCTTTGGATGTGCTCTTTATGTTATCTTTTTTTGGTTATTATTGCGTTCGCTAGTTCGCCAGGAACGGTCAGTGATCCTGAAGTGGATGTTTGCATAAGGAGAAACGCGAAAATATGTGTATTGGATAATTCTTTGGTTTTTCTTCTGCATTCAGTCCACAGTCCACCACATGATTGTAGGGTTACAAATCCTTGCAATAGTTGTTTCTGAGATGAACCAATCCTCCACAAGAAATCTGACTAGACAAAGAAAGACTGGTAGAGTGTCTGATTATATTTATCGGGTGTCAATTTTTTATGACATTACAAAGATTTACTTTGTTCTTTCTCAATGAACAAGCTGTTGGATTCAGGGACACTGCGTTATTGGACATTTTTAGAATGGGTTTGGTTGTCTTGCGTCAATTGTTAAATGAGGACATCATGTTTGCCAATGGTACCTTCCTTTTCATTTCAATAAATTATTGTTATTACGATCTATCGCATAACTAGTTTTCTGATACATAGAACTTCAGGAACACAAGACGAAAGAATATTGTTTAATATTGTTGCGGAATTGTTTGGCTTTTGATTTCATTGGCACCACCATAGATGAATCTGGCGAAGACGCGGGAAGCATTCAGGTACTATTCACGTGACATTTGATCATCAAGAAAACATAATATACTTGTAATTACAAACGATAATTTTTTTCGAAAGGTGACATCATCCTGGCGTTCGACAATCGAGGACCCTTCATTTATTCGAACCTTATTTGAGGCGTATAAACGGTTCCAACCGCCACATTCCAGTCAAGTATGTTAAGAAAAGTGATAATGATGACGATCAAGTTGATTCTTCACATAGTCATTCACCAAACACGATTCACTATGATAGGTCATGGAAGTACTTGTTCAGGCTTCCTCCATACGTAGATCTCTCTTTAGCGAAGAAGAGCGATCTAAGTATTTGCACAGTCTAATGCAAGGGATTAGTGAAATCTTATTGAGCTCCATAGGTCTCTCAGACTTAAATAATTATCATGAGTTCTGTCGCCTCTTGGCAAGATTTCGATCTACCTATCAATGGAGCGAGATTTCTGAAAAGCCGGGATATAACGAGTGGATCGACTTGGCTGCGGAATTCTCTGTTAAGGGGCTTAACAATTGGCAGGTGATTATGTTTCTGGTGATAATAATGGTCGTTCAGAAATATCAAAATTTCATTTAACATTCACATGAAATAACTGATTACTAGTTGGTACCAAATAGTGTGCAATATTTACTTACATTTTGGTCAAAAATGCTTTCTTCGGCTGGAAGCTCTCGTCCTGGACTATCGAACAAGCTCGAGTTGATTGCTTCAAAGGTAATTTTAATGGCTTGGGTTATTGAGCATTTATTATTGATCTCTCATGGTTGCCTTTCTCCAAATAGTTAACTCGTACGTTTATCACGTCCAAGATTGAGTCGGTAGAGTCCATTATAGATGGTGCGGTTGATGGTATTGAATAATTGTTGACTAGCGGAATTTTCGTGAATATAAAGGGTCCCATCTTAAAGCATTTTCTATAATTATCAATAGATCCATTAGAAAACGAAGATGCAGTTGTAGCTGACCTAGAAATGTTTGCGAGTATAGCGCGTTGCAATTACGAAGATGCCAATCAAGCTATTGTGAATGCATTTAACCCTATCGCACAACAATATCAGGTAGGTAAACACACATTTGTATATATACTTGCGTTTAAGATAAACATCCGATGTCATTAAATGCATCCTCGCAGGCGTTATTACAGCAAATCACTGCTGGTGTGATACAAGACTTTACTCAAAATTTAGAAGTGATCGAAAGTAAGTTCGGCTATATATATATAT